TATATATATATATTTCACTAAATTATTAGTGTCTACGTGCTGCTTTTCACATAAAAACTATGTGTTTTATATGTGTTTAAACCTGTAAATTTGTGTTTGGCCTGTGTAAGACACGAAACACGAATTTGAAATTTGTATCAACATGAATAAACACGAAACACATTTGCATACGATCATCTTATGGCTATGGAGCTTAATTCATGGTGCGAGACTTTTTTTTTATATTGGAATTTTTTTTGATATTGGAATATATGTGAGACTGTTGAGAATGACATAGCTAAGTGTTTTAATGACATAATAATGGATTCTATAAAGAAACCTCTTCTTAAATTTCAAAGATGTTGGTGTTAAGAGTCAAGATGTTACACAAGTTCCAATTCAAGAATCTCAAAAAGTCCTAGAAACTCAAGCATTAGAAGAGGAAAATAATAAATATGAGGGTATATATGACACCCAATAAGTGAAGAGGAAGAAGCCTCCACACAGTATTACTCTAATGAAATTACATAAATAAGTGGTTGGTAAGCATGGTCGTTGGATGAGTGCATACAAGACACTTATGTTAGATTAAAGTGTTTGATATCCTTTTTTTATTAGGTGCATGCCATTGCGTTGGCTTTTGCTGATAACTATTTGGGAAAATGTGTGTGATAGCACTTTTTTGATAAGTACTTGTAAATTTGTAAACATTATGGCTTTACTTATCGTGAAAACAATTTGGTCAATTTTTTTTATTATTAGTCGTAAGTACATAAACTGCATTAAAGTTATTATGTAGTCATTTGGGTAATTAAATTGTTTTGGACTTTTGGTCAAGTCATTTTGGATATCAATTTATTTTGGTCAAGTCTAGTTGTTTTGGTTATTTTAGATATCAAATTGTATCGGTAAACCTACACCAATTAAAAATTTTAAGACAAATTATCCATACATTGATTAGGTTGAACCAATAGTTACAGTATAAAAGAAAAACACTAAGATCAAGTTGTTTTTGTCAACCTACCATTCCATACATCATTTTGTCATATACATAAATATTAAAATTAAAACCAAACAAACCCAAAACCCAATCTTCCAACTTCCAACAACAATTCCACCATCTTCTTGCATAACTACACCTTCCATAGGTTATTGTTCCATAATTTATGCAGGTTCTTGTTCCACAAATTCTGAAAATAGTTTATGGTTCTCATCATTTTGTTGTTGTGTAATTATAACAATATGTCTTTGTAACCATTGGTTTGGTAATTCAAGGTCTACCCAAACAAAGTACTTGCAATCCTTCACTTCACTATGCATTATACCTCTGGGTTAATCTAAAAAAACCATATGTATACAAATCAAAAAAATATATTATCTTTTTAATTCAAGTGTAACATCTTCAAATTTTAACTTCCTTACCTTGAATTGTGGCAACCAATGTATTTTCTTGTACGGTTTTTTTTTAGGAGTCCACTTTCCAAATGCATCGCCATAGTCACACCTACTCATCAAACCTTGGCTACCTGATCAATTTGCTTCCTTGCAATCTAGGGCTTAAATATTATAAAAGAGCAATAATTGCAATATATTATACCCCAACAACCACATAAAATTTTCATTTAATGACTAGGATTTCATCTCAACATTTTAACCAGGTGAAATACGGGTTACTAGACAAAAAAGTGATTTAATTTTTAACCCGGCAACCAATCATTTTCTGTTTAAAAGAAAAAACTTTTCCGTTCCTTATTACCAAAATATTAAGATAATCCTAACTTATGTAAGAATGTTGTATATCTTTAACAAGGACCGATATAAAATTTATGACGTTCTTGAAGGGAACATTATGTAAATTAATCTGCTAGTGCTAGTCAACAAGTTTAAAGACGTAAAGTATCGAGTTCCCTTCTCTTTGTAAGTTTCACCTTTCATCTAACAGAGCAAAAGGAATTGGCGATGGCGAACAAAAAAGGCTCGAAGATGAACATCGCAATCATTCATCCTGATCTCGGAATCGGTATGCACTCATCACAAACACGAATATTGAACAACTATATAATTTTGCTTTACTTTGTTTGAATTTGGATCGCATGTTATCCCTTCAATTTCGACTATGTACGTTCGATTCAGTTTTCGGTATCGTTCTGTGCAAATTCTCGTATGAATCCTTGTAATTTTCAACTTCTGTACATATTCGATTCCGGAACAGTAGATTGTTTTGCTGAAAAATTCGAAAAAGAACTTTTCATCCTCTCCAGCTCTAAATCACTGTTCCAAACTACATATAGATAATCAGCATAGGTCTAATTCGCTTTAGAATCAAACATTTGTTGATAAAATTCTGTATTTCTCTGATTGTTGCAACACAATTTTAGAAAACCTAGAGAAACTACATGTAACTAATTTAAGAGATTTTAGTTAAATTCCATACCCTTTGATGTGAATCTAAACGTTTCAATAGTTTGTCCCCTCTCCAATCCCCCTCCCCATTAATCATTTGGACAATCAAAAATGAAAAGAACTTCATCTTTTGGAACGCATTCAATTTAATATGTAGCCATAATGTTTCCTGGTTATGATATCTTGCATTTCTAATTGTTTAGGAGGAGCCGAAAGGTTAATAGTTGATGCAGCAGTTGAACTTGCATCTCATGGACATAATGTTCACATTTTCACATCACACCATGATAGAAATCGGTGTTTTGAAGAGACACTTTCAGGTAACAAAAATTTATCAAATTCTCTCCACAAATCTATTCACAATCTTTAATTCCTTCTTCCTTTTTTATACATCCAGGTACATTTGCAGTTACAGTTTATGGATCATTCCTTCCAAGACACATCTTCTATCGTCTTCATGCAGTATGCGCGTATCTTCGTTGCATATTTGTTGCCCTCTGTGTCTTATTCAACTTTCCATCTTTTGACATTATACTTGCTGATCAAGTCTCTGTTGTCATTCCAATTTTAAAGCTCAGAAAATCCACAAAGGTTTGTAAACTTGGACCTCAAGTATTGTTATAAATGTCATGTGATATTTTATAAATTGATTCTTCTTTCAATCTTAGGTTGTTTTCTATTGTCATTTCCCTGATTTGTTGCTGGCTAAATACACAACTCTTCTAAGAAGAATATACCGGAAGCCCATAAACTTTTTAGAAGAATTAACAACAGGAATGGCAGATTTAATACTTGTTAACAGCAATTTTACAAAATCAACTTTTGCTGCAACATTCAAGCGACTTGATGCTCATGGGGTAAAACCAGCTGTGCTTTATCCAGCTGTAAATGTGGATCAATTCAGTGAACCAAATGCTTATAAGTAAAGATTGGTATCTTTCTTGGTATATTTTGAAGGTTTTATTCTCTCTGGTTTTAGCTTCATATTTTAGATTTCTGATTTTGCAGGTTGAATTTTCTTTCAATTAATCGTTTTGAAAAGAAAAAGAACATAGATTTGGCAATATCAGCTTTTGCAATGCTTCCTTCTCCTGATGTGACATTGACTATTGCAGGCAAGTCAACTCAACCAATTAGATTTTTACATTTGTCAACAAACTTATCACATTTATATCTTTTTTAGGTGGATTTGATGAGCGATTGAGAGAGAATGTTGACTATTTAGACCAACTAAAAGTATTGGCTGAAATAAAAGGTGTATCAAACAAGGTCAAATTCATTACATCTTGTCCTACATCTGAAAGAAACACTCTTCTCTCTGAGTGCCTATGTGTTATTTATACCCCAAAGGTGCGATTATAAATAAGTAAGTTACATTTTTGGTCCCTGAGTATAGCTATTCTTTCTATTTTGGTCCCAAAAGGTTTTTAACTTGCAATTTTAGTACTTATTTGAGGTTTTTGTAACGTTTTAAGATCAAAATTGCAAAAACTAGCTATACTCAGGGACCAAAAATAGTTGTTTTACTTTGAAAAGGGACTAAAAGCGTTACAAGAACCTCAAATAAGGACCAAAATTGCAAGAGAAAACCTTTTGGAACCAAAATCATAAAAATCAGCTATACCCAAGGACCAAAAATATAATTTACTCGTTATATGACACAAAATATTAAACATTTCAAAGTTATTGGTGTTAATTAGGGATATTGTTAGAAAAGTCCCAATATTTTCGGAAAAGTTTCGCTTTAGTCCCGAATTTTATTTTTTGAACAGAAAAGTCTAGATTATTTCATTTTGGCTCAAATTAACAAAAAAGTCTTTTTTTTTTCTTTTAACAGGAAAATGACATATTATCGTGTAAAATCAAATAATCGGGACTTTTCTGTTCAAAAAATAAAATTTGAGACTAAAGTGAAACTTTTCCGAAAATATTGGGACTTTTCTGACAATTTCCCATGTAATTAGGATGAACATTTTGGAATTGTTACATTTTTGGCCCCCGAGTATAAATGACACAAAATTTCAAGAGAACTTTTTGGGACCAAAATAAAAAAATTAGCTATACTCAGGGACCAAAAGTGTAATTTATAACTATCAATGAAAAAAAATCATTGAACATTTAGAAGTTATTATTGTTATAATTAGGATGAACATTTTGGGATTGTTCCATTGGAAGCAATGGCGGCTCATAAACCGGTGATAGCTTGCAATAGTGGTGGGCCCGTTGAGACAGTGATAGATGGTGAAACGGGTTTCTTGTGTGACCCGACCCCACAAGGCTTCTCATCAGCCATGGCTAAGTTTTTGGAGAATCCGAGGTTAGCAGAAACAATGGGTGCAAAAGCACGAAAACATGTTTCCGGAACATTCTCTACCAACACCTTTGGCGAAAGATTAAATCAGTATTTGGTGGATGTAGTGTTATCAAACAGTAAACTACATGTAGAATAGAAAGCAGAGTGATTAGATTTTATTTTGTTACTTAAGTGATACATGTAGGATTTTATTTTTATCTTTTGTTAGGCCACTAAAGTTTTATTTTTTTCATCCAACTATTTTGAATTTTGATTATGGATTCGGTTTTTGTTTGATTTGTGTATATATGGTTTAATAGAAGTTATAGAACCATGTTCTAGTTGATAATTGATATATATATATTTATGTTATTGATGTAGTTGGCTTTTACTTGACATTATGTTCTAGTTGATTGTTGTGTTTTACTTGTTTGTGAGACGAATGTTTGATGGTATTAGGTGCCAATTTTGTATATAGTGAAATTTATAGACAAAATATTAGGTACAAATTTTGTATATATATTGAAATTTATCATACTTATTCATGTGGAATCTATGCATTGGAATTTGGAAGTTGGAACATCTACTCCTCCAACTGACTAATCATCGTCAATGTTGCTCTCAACCTATTGCAAAAAAGAAAAAGTCCATTTTGAATATAGTTTCGAGGACTAATATTAATACAAAAGATAATCATTGATTAAAGTTTTTCGGGTTATAACTTGTAGACATCGGAAAACATGTTAAACTAATCTAAAAACTAGTCTTGTAAAGCCTTGAGAATGCTATTATTTTAGATTAGTTTAACATGTTTTCCGATGTCTACAAGTTATAACCGCGAAAAACTTTAATCAATGATTATCTTAGCACCTCTGATCTCCTGAACATCATATCTGGCTTTGGTGGTTGAGGTTTTGGTTGTTTTTCCTCAATCAATGCTTCTCTCCCAAATAAAAAACTAGTAGGATACAGCAAACATTTCTAATTTTGACAGTTCCTCAAACAGAAATATTATCACCACATCTCTGTAACATACTTTGCTAAGCAACATACATGCAAAGTCATCATGTGCAACATCAAAGTTGCTTCAGATTTCAGACTGATTCGATAGATTTCAGTGTATGCAAATCACTCAGAGTTATATAAAAATAATAGCCAACTACAAAACTGCATCATACCTAACTACCAAACAAATACCAAATACCAAAAAGGACACACAACTTGGAAATGTATTTGCAATTCGGAATGGTTTCCATTTCGGTCATTTTTTTCATTATTTAACATATCTATAAAACCAAACATGACTCGTGTAACCAACATAAAACAAAAGACATATGAAATACATAATTTAATCCAAAAAATACCCCATTTTATAAATGTTATTCGGATTTTGGATTAGAGTTTGCATTTCGATAATGTTTTAGTTAGAACTTCAACTATAAAATGTGGGACCCAAAAGTGTAACACTAACCTGGTTCATCGAATCTCCTCTGGTGAGAATCCGTACTTTGTTTTCATCGGATTCATTGAGAGAATAAGGTGGTGTTTGCTTTGGATGAGGTAAAATGTTTTCAATCTTTTTTCATGTTTGCGGAATTAAGATATGGTCCAAAAGTCTTTTTCCATATGTTCATTAAAAATTATTTGTTTTTTAAAGTCTCATAAAAAAGACGGGTGGTGTTGGTGTTGGCGGTGATAGTGCATAGTGGTGTTGGTGTTGGTTGGTGATGGGGGTGACAGAGGTGGTGGTGGTTGTGACGATAGTGGCGGTGGAGGTAGTGGTGGCGGCGGCAATGGTGGTGGAAATGGTGGTGGCAACGGCGGTGTCGGAGGTGGCGGTGGAAAAAAGATATCACATTAGAGTTAGATATTAGAAACGTTTTTAAAATTTAAAAGCTATTTTTTTGTCTTCTAAAAAAAGAGATCAAAATGAATTGAGAAATTAAATATCCTCCTACATTTTATTCCTAATGATCCTCCTACCATATAAAATGGTGACAAGTGGATTAAATTAGTATTAATTTCATTAAATGTGTCATTAAATTTGACACATGTCAACATTTGATATGGTAGGAGGATGAGTAGGAATAAAATGTAGGAGGATATTTAATTTCTCAAATGAATTTTATGTCTTTTTTCTGTTGAAAAACAAAGTGTTTTTCTTAAATATTTTTTCTCGCGTAGACAAAAAAAGTCAAAAAGATATTTTGCCAAAAATATACACACCACCTAAATGTTGTTTTGAGAAGCGGTCGGTACCAGTTACGTATATATTTGTAAAAGAAGGGGAGACCATATAAACAAGTAAGAACACCTTGGTGTGAGGGGTCTGAAATGACCCATTTTCGGGTTATAAGGTCATTTTGATGAAAATCAAAATTTTAGATATATTTCTATAATTCCATAAAATATAAATTCATTTATGTGATTATCCATAAAAAGGATCTCATGTTCCTTTCTATATATAAAACCCGCATCCATTATTACAATTATTATTATTTTAATTTCTTATGAGATAAATGTAATTAACTACCCTATTATCCATGTAGACTTGTAGTACCATCATCTCTATATAACCTCTACTCTTGTGTCACAAAGTTGGAAGTACAATTTCCACTTGAAAACAAAACAAAACCGAAAAGATGGAAGACTTAAAGATCGATGAAGCAATACAAAAGGTTGGAGAAAAGTATAGATCATTCCTCCATGAAGAAGCTAAAAACACCCATTGGAGGCATGGTGCTCCTCCTACCTATGATGCTGTTAACCAACTTTTTGAAGAAGGTCGAACCAAGGTTTGATTTGTTATCATGCTCTTTAATTTCATTATTTTTTGATTAAATAGAAGCTTGTATTTTGTGTTTCTTAGTTGATTTCAATTTGCATATGTATTAATTTATGAAGGAAATTAGGTTGACATGTCCTTCTCCCATGAAAATCTTAGATTAAACATTTAGTTTGATGGTATTTCTTCTTATTTTCTATACACTAAAAGTTATGGTTAAAAAATCTCTATTTTTCTTTGTGTTTATGTTTATAGCTTAGATGATTTGTGTAATTGAATTATTATTTTTGTTGGATCAATCTATGTATACAGAACACCTATCCTTGCTTGTTTGTTTCATGTTCAAATATGAGTATGACCTTTATGATTTATCTCTCATATTTATGATATTTATGGAGGTGTCCATGAGTGGTGATTATCATTTATCCTTTTCATATGATTTACTAAATGAATACCCAAAATAATAATAATAATAATAATAATAATAATAATAATAATAATCAAACCTATCTCGGGCGATAGAGGCAACCGTCCAGAGTCCATCATTCAAATGGGCCCAAAAAATTTATGGACTTTATTATTATATGTTAGACAATATCGATCTTGAAGATATAATTAATAATTTTACATCTTAAAAAGATATAAGAATTATTTTTCTTTAAATATATGGATTTTTGTAATAAAAAATCTTATATTTAGAAGCTAATATAAATAATTTTCTTACAATTATTGAGGTATTATAAAAACAAGTTTTGAACAACCTTGATAATAATAATAATAATAATTTAAGAAAGTTTCTAATTTAAACATGATTAACCAAATAGTCCATCGAGGTATAACATCAAATTTTCAATCTTTAGTTCTAGTGATTTTAGATCATCTTGAATCATAATCATTATGAACAACAAAATGTGTGGTCTGAATTTTCTTTTATATTGAGATAAAGAAAATAAATTTGTAGCAAAGAAACACGTTAACTATAGTATATATTATGCTGTGTAAACGAGGTCACATTAACCAAAATACGTTAAATATTATATATTATGTTTTTGTGTGTGCTTATTCTTGCTTATTCCTCACAATGTTTACCATGTTCAAAGAAACATCAAGATGCGATTTTTAGCCTTGTATGTAGGTATGGGAAAAAGGATCACTAGAAGAAACTGTTCAAAACGCAATAAAGTCATGGGAAATGGAGCTTAGCCACAAGATTCGGATAAATGATTTTAAGACCATTAATCCTGATAAGTTCAAGCTTATTGTCAATGGTAAACTGTCTAAATTCAATTACCATTTCTTAAATAATTCCTTTTTTTTTAGATTTTGCAATTGGATTATTTTTAAGAATCTATAATGAAGTACGATTATTTTTGCTAAAAGGCAAACACAAGGGTGACCAAATAGGTAATTAGGCTTTTACATAATTAATTTCGTAATTATTCTCCAAGGCAGGTTACAGGATAATATTAATTACTAAATCTTTTTATATGTAATGAAATAAGAAATATTCGACTTTCTATATAATATTTAAGGTTGATGGATTGACATAAATCATGAAAAATGTCGTATAAATTAAATAATCATAACAAGGACACGTAGATTTTGCTTACGCTAACGAAGCAATATTTTATTACATCTCTTTATAGTTTGAAAAGCATACACATTATTTGTATGGTGACAATTCTTGACATGGTTCGTAACATAGCATGAACCCGATACAGCAATAAACGTGTTACGATTGAGTTTTTTTGACTCGTCAGGTTTGCCTATCGATTTATTTTATTATATTAAAAAATAAAAAATATATTTATTAAATAAATAATATAATAAGGAATAATAAGTAAATATATGATATTTAGATTTTTTTGTCCACGGCCCACGAACATTTAAACTCGTATAATTAAACAGGCTATACAGAGACCTGTTTATGGCTACTCTTGGTTAGGGTTCAGCAAAACACATAAATATTTATATGAGTCGTATACATGTTACTAACCCGGATACAATACAAATGGCACCCTAATTATTTGTCCATACACCAACAAAAACATATTATTAAGTAGGTTAAGAACCGAGTTAAAATTTTGATTTATTATAAAACTAAAAGTTACTATGCCACAAAGTTAGACGTTTTTTGGTAGTATACGTTATTTTTTAATTTTTATTTAGTCTATAAAATTCAAGGTTCTAAAAAGCTCGTCATGGTTCCGCCATAGCACGTCATGGCTCCAAGGCTTGTATGTGCCGTCAAACTTTACCAAAACGCCGTCATGACTCATATATGTGTATAAAAATGAATAATAATAGAAAATACATTTAAAAATATGAATTATATACAAACTTGCCGCCTTAAGTCACGCCTTATAAACGACGTGGCTCGCCAAGCCTCGAAAAAGCTTGAAGTTTGACATTGCCGCCACTTACGTTATTTAGATCCTTGATAAAATCCATAAAAATTATTATTTTTTAATTGTTCAAACAATCTTTATCAAATTACATTAAAAAATTAATAATAAGTCAAAGTCATCCAAAAATGGTCAAATCAGGGA